CGCCGAGGTAAGTCCATCCACATCCTCACAGCCGACAAAGGGAACGCCACACGTCGGTCGGGTTCTCACAGAGCTCTTCCCAAAGACCCCACACCTTCAAAAGAGTTTAAAGAACAAGTTGCTCGCGCTCCAGCGATCCGGAAACATCCCTGCTGCCTTATACCAACAAGTACGACCCTCAAGCTCCCGGTGTCCCAGATTAATCAGGCATCCCAAGTTAAACCTGACGTGCCTCGATCTTCGCCCCATCGTAGCCTCCAGGGGAAGCCCCACATACCACACAGCCAAGCTCCTCGTCAAGGTTCTCCACCTTCTCGTGGGAACACGCGGTAACACGTCAAGAATTCTGACCAGGTTGTCGAGTTTATACAAGGCTGCATCACACTCCAGCCAAATGGCATCATGGTTAGCTTTGATGTTGTTTCTCTCTATACAAACGAACCTTTCTACCTCTGATACCTGCAACATCGCCATGCAAAGGCCACAGCACGACGTCACCCTCAAGGGGCGGACAGATCCCAGACCAAATCCACGACCTACTGGTCACCTGCATATCATCCTGCGCAATGTAAGAATTTCACAGTCGTACGTGAACCAGCGAAGTGTATATTTCCCACCAAAGGAGCCTCTAATGCTATGCAAATTGCGCCCTCTCTTGGTTCCGCTCGGGGCAAATTTACAAATTACTTATGTAAAATACGTAGGCCTAATAGCAATTTCATAAGTTGAAAAACTGAGTGTTGTATTTCATGAGACGATGTTGGATGAAATGGAACATTCAAGCTGTCACTAAATGAAATATTTTTCTAGTGCGTGATCTTGAAACACTTGTTACAAATATGTGAAGTCGGGCGCAAGTTAGGTTTTCCTTCTTCGATCCGGCACGACATGGCGCCGTGCACACCACTGTCTGACATTCCAGGCTAATTCAAGCTGGAACAAGTGTCTTTGGGTACCTTGCTAACTGCTCGTCGTTCGACCGCATATTTCCCTCCGAGCAGCCACTCCCACAAACTAACACCGTTACTCCATGTGTTTATTTTTGTTTCCAGGTCTATACCAGGCACGAAAAGAGACAAACTGAGGGGCACCCCCCAACAAGTCCAATCCCTATGCACATTCCAGCCTATTGTCACTTAACACATTCCCCCTAGATGTCTGAAAAGAATTCCTGAGATACCAGTATAACCATGGTATAACAATGACCAACTCAAAGGCAGGGGGGGGGGATTCTCTCTGTCTCATAGTTTGCTTCATATGTCCAGGTGAGTTCCCGGTAAAACTTGAGTCTGAACGACTGTTTTATGGTAGCTAATACATCCCTCAGGTCCTCTCTCTAACTACATTTCATTATGCTGCTGTGGAAGTACTGTAATGCCAGTCACAACCCAAACTGCCGTGACCTGTCAGCACAGGTCTATAAATAACGAGCCCCAGTTAGTGATGGCGACCATATGGGCCCTAATATCCACACATACCTTTTTCCTTGCTCTCTGTGACTTCCGTATTGCCTAGTTGTACCTCTTGCTCACACTTTACTCTTTTCCTATGAATTTCGTGGTGTTGAGTGAACCTGCATGAAAGCCAAATCTCCCCGACACTGGCATTTGCAACATAATCACTTTTCTTTGGATACTGACTACATTTGTCGGCAACACAGCGCTCCCTACTGTCAAAGTCCGATACCTTCCACCACTCCTCAACAGACAATTGCAGGATTTTCACATTCAGGAACACTAATGAGGATTTTGCTTCCTCGGACACGCTCTATTTTGCAATCAATACACAGTCATGACAGCACGTGCATGTAAACACCCTCGTTCTTCGGATCTCTAGTCTGGTTTGAGTGGCTGAGAGAAATTTAGGAAAAGAGGGAGTATAATGAGTCTGGGAATCAGACTTTGATATGATATGCGCCCTCTTGTGTTTAAAAGTCATTAAGTATGGAGGTTTCGGTTACAAAATTAAAATTGGGGAATACGAGAAATGAAAAACTTGTCAAAACACTAAATTCTAAACAAAACTGTTTAAACCAACCGATATAGGCGCGTGAACAGATGCTAATGATGAGCCCCTTTTAAGTGATATGTTATTTGAAGGTTCTCGAGCTTGGTCTCAAAGCTTTGAACAGTTCCGGTCTCCCTTATGCTTGCAGACAAGGTGATTCTATCCCTCTCGGGTTCTTGATATGAAAGAAAATTTGAGGCAGCCTTGAAGAGATTGGCGAGGATTTCCGTGTTTCTACCCAATCCCCTTAATTTCACGTGATTTACAATTCACGGAGCAGAATGACGGGGATTTATTCAGACGTACAGTTACACAGGATGAAGCGATCGGATTAACCTTGAGTTAGCATAAACCCTTCTTAAGTGTCCACCACAAATTGCAAACCACTTGAGCCAAACGGTTCACACTTGAAAGTTCACCACCATGCCATCAAGTGTGCGTAACAATGGGCACTACACGTTTAAGGGTCTCTCTGTCATGCGTCCTTGCGAGATCACTGGCAGTGAGCGCTTTGATTTTATCCTTTGGTAAAGCATACTTTTTCTCTACGTTCCGGTACATCAACAAAATCTGTAATACCCAGCAGCCTGAGTCCAGGGGGAAACGTTGCAATTAAAGCTTTGGCGTCCGTCGTTCCCGAGCGGCCTTCTGTCTTGTGACGGCCGGGGACGGGGAAAGGGTCTTCGCTCGAGTCAATGTCAAACGATCGTCAAAGGAAGCTCCAGTAATTAGATTTGGATCAGCCATTTTGTGCAGGGGTGCCGACAGAATAGAACAGGTTTGAAAGCACGCAACTCTCACCAGTTGGGGTTTTTCTGTCGCTGACAATGAAACGACTAAAAATCAACTTTGAACGGCCGATAGACACTACTATAGGACATGCAGCTCAGAACAACGCCAAAATGGAAAGGTTTTTCTGAGGCTTAGTCAAAACAGGCAAATGATTGTTTATTAATGTTTACTTACAGAAGGCCACAGCCTGTTCCAACCATTCTTTTCCGAATAAACAGATGCATTGTATAATTGTTTTTGTAACAATCTATACATCTATATATAAAACGGTGCCCTTTTTTAAAGTCTCCATTTCGTCTCTAGCGGCAGCTTACTTAGCGTGCTTATGACTACTAGAGCCGCATGGTAAAAGGAATCTACACGGATCTTTTCCCAAATCCTGGCATTCTTCACCTGCAGACACAAGGAGAAGCATCCATCAAACTAGCAATCCGATTGACATTTCCACGATCAGTGTCAAATTCTTTGGAAAGAATCTTGGCTATTTCTGCTTCCCAGTATTTTGTTCCTTTAATCCACGAGAGCAGCATTCTGCGCATCTACCTATTTTTGTATTGTAGCGTGTCCATTACACAAGGTACATTTCGTACCACTTACCAATGTCAATGACACCGGGCGAAGACACACGACCTCAGGTAGTGTCTCAGATTACTGTAACATTTTCGATTTTGATAACTAGATTAATGTTCACTTTACTGCTTTTTTGCCTCCTCCAAAGTTATCATGTGTGCTACGTGCATTTGAACCTTGATCGTTGATTTGCCAGGCTGTGCCTTTTATTTTTTTTTTACTGTACTGAAATTCATGAGGATTTTATTTTGTTGTGCACTTGTGTCAAAAGTAAATTGTACCGTATGAGCTGAAAACAAGAAAGTACAGTCCCATTCGCTCCTAACAAAAAAAAGCAAGAACCTTGACTTTTTTAAACCCGAGATTTTGTGAGAAATTTAGCAGCGCAGCGAGTAATAATTTCAGTGGCGTTTTGATGTTCGAAATGTTGAATAAGCCCATCTTGTACACTTGTAAACAATTTTGCTGGGAAAAAAATGAATATCGGCATAATGACATGAGAGTTCTGACCCAAATTTCTGATCAAGCGATCCTGCGTCTTGCTTAATATAGGTAAAAACCAATACACCAATATGAGGTGATACCACTGCTACAAAGGAGTGACATTTTATGGCTAACTGCGGTACCTTATTGGTGAAAGAGCTGAGGCTCATAACGCGCGTGCCACACCTGCACAAGAACGTAGAGTGCCGCCACAGTGTAATGGCCTTTTATTCTGGTATAAATCGGATGGTTTGGCACGTTCATTGGCAAGCAATGTACCAACAGTCTCTTCCTTTATACTTTGTCTCATCACTGATCAGAAGGGCACTGTTAATACAGCATCATGTTTATGACGAGGAAAATTGACATTGGGCATCAAGCCGTCGTTTTGCTTTGTTTCTTCATCACAAGGTACCTCGTTCTTAACAGTGTTTCATGAGAATGCGTGACCGCAGTCCCAATTATACTGTACCATGACATGAACAATCTTAACACCCAAATCGCCCATGTTTTTATTGGAACACATTTCAATTTCTCATCAGATGCCCAAGAAAATGGGAAAAGTGGGAAAAGCCTGTAAGAAATGCCGTTCAAAAATAACGTTCAGCTTATAATTTATGTGATTTGTCCTGAGCACAGAATACTATTTGACACCTGTATCAAACTTTGGCTGGTCTGCATTTGAAATTTAAACGAAAAATGAAAGAAGAAAATAGTCGTGTTCCCATGTCAAAAAGGCACTTAAGCTTATAGTTATTGTTACATGAGGCAAAACCTTTAGTCCTTACTTCGAAGCACATTAGAGAATTTTTTTTCGAACTTAAGTACAGTACCAGTCGTACTCGTCTTTAACGGCCGATTCACAAAAATGCGCCCAAAGAGTTTGCAACGCGTCGACCGATCACAATGCGCGAAATCGTCGACCCAATACGCGTCTGGAAAGAGTCGACAAATTTCGCGCGTTGTGATCGGCCGACGCGTTGCAAATTCGTAGAGGCGCACTATTGTGAGTGGCCCGTATTGTACTGCTTGCACTCTCATAAAAAAATTAATCATAGTGAAGTACTCGCACTTATCCAGATGTATTCGTGAAGCTACAGCACTCTTACGCACTCCGCCACTGTCTTTCCTTTTCCTTCGTGCCTCAGGTGATCTGTTCCTTCTTCTCGTCGTAGTCCCCCTGCACATCACCGAGTACTACCCCTCCACCTGGCCCTACCTCTGGCGCTACGACGCCCAGTGCATCCTGCACCGCTACGGTCGCTTCGCCGGCTTCAACTTGAACGTGTTCACCATGGTGGCCATCGCCGTGGACCGGTACCTCGCCGTCTGCCATTCGCTGGTGTACCGGGCCCACTGCACCCTAGCCAGGACTCGCCTGTGTATCCTGGCGGTGTGGACACTGGCGGGTGTCACAGCCGCGCCCTCCTCCATTAATTTCGCAGTAAGCAGAAAGCAAGAAAAGAAACTTACGATAACTGGTTTACATCTCTCTGTCCACGTTGTAGTTATATTTATTGTGCCATACAGTGGCCGGTAAGCTACGACCGGCCTTCATCATAACGATATTTCACAGAGTTTAAAAAATCATTGGAAGCTTTCAAAACATCAAAATAACCAATACTACCATCGAATAAAACTGAAAATAAAATAACGGGGTTCAAGTTAGATTCAGGCACCAAGGGTAATATTTCTACAATCTTCGCCTACCAATACCGCGGGTAGCAGACACATCGATAGAATCCTTAGTGTGATAAGAGAAACACGCAGACTGTTTTTCGTTCCTGCCGGCATGACTTCTCTGAGCCAGTACAAACTTTTAAGTGCCATCTTCGTTATGTGCAAGAGTTCCGCCAGTTTGTTGGTCAAAAGGTATGGTGTTCTATAGACGACATAATCAATGTGCGTGGCGTCGTCGCGTCCTGTAATGCCGTCGCCTGTTTCCTGATAGCCAATTACAACACTGAAGTAAGACACGGGGCGGCGTTGCCTGCCACCTGTCGTGCCGTGCTGTCACGTCTCTTTAATCACACGTCCCTTGGCCCTAGGTGGTGACAAAGGTAGCACGGCGCAGAGGCATGCGCGACGGGCGACGACGGCACGACACGATACACTCACATTTGTCGTCTATAGAACACTATAAACAAGCACTCTTGACCCAAAACTTTATCTAGGCCTACATCTGTACCTTGGTAAGGAGCCAGTGGGGATCCACGATCCACTGAACAATCATTCAATCCACGACTAGTTTCATGAAGCCCTAAGGGCTAAAACTGATAACTGAGGGATTCACCTTCACACTTACTAAAAATAACTCCCTTTTGCGTTTCCTTTTCTTTAACATTCTAAAAGGTCAAATATCAAGTCGGTGAATACATCGTGAACTACGCGGGTAAGACCCCCTTGGCCTGCCAAACGATCTTCTTGGGCTCCTTCTTCCTGAACTTCAAGGTCATCTATGTCTCCATGGTTCTCTTCTGGGTACCGGTGCTGGCCACAGCGATCACCTACACGGTCGTGGTGGTGTACGTGTGGCGCAACAACAGGAAATTCAGTCGCTGCACCTCGGCCGGCCGGCACCTGCGAAGCCACTGGAAGGCTGCCCGGACCCTCTTGCTGGTCTTCTGCGTATACGTTTTGACCTACGTGTTCCTGGCGACCTACACGGTGGTCCGCCAGTACGCCACCGTGGACGTCTCCCCGTTGGTCAAGAACGTGGGGCTGCTGCTCCCGTACGCCAACAGCTGCCTGAACCCCGTGGTCTATTCCCTGGTCAACCAGAATTTCCGGAGGGCCTGCCTGCAGATGCTCTGCCCGAGGCGGCAGAGGGAAGGCAGCGGTACCAGTGGGCCCTCCGCCAACGCCAGGGCAGGAGTGTCTGGTCGGGGACAGCAGCGTACGGTCAGCGTGACCCTGAGTGGCTCACGGGAAGAGATGCAGGCGCGGGCAGACTGCCTAGGTCAGGGAGGCGACGAAGGTTATGCTCGAAGTTTTGACAACCCAACCTTCGACGGTGAAAAACTAACTCACCAACACGGATTTGACACCGTTATGTAAATGTTTTTTCAGTGTCGCTCACCAAGAAACGGTTTTTCCCGAGAACGCCTTCGCAGTCTTATCTATTTCCACGTAAGAAGTCACGCACGTACGCGCACACCAATCTATCACAACAGCCATTTTTCCCGAGTTAAGATTTTTATCGTGCGTGGTGCCAAGACATCTAATACAGATTAAGACTTATGAAGCTGACAGAGTGCATGATGTAATACAATGTGATTTCACAAAATTTAGGTACTTACAAAAAGTCTTGATTCACGCAGAAGGAAAGTTTAACGAATCGCCAATGCGCAGACAGTGAGCTGTAGAGGATACTGTCGACAGAATAACTCCAAACTGGGAGTATCATATCAAGCAACCATCCCAATCTTCTCGTTTGAAGCAATTAGGCTTGGGGCCAGTGGGGTAACATAAACTGTGGTTCGTGGTGGGCATGGTATATGCCGTTTTCGAAAACATCAGTACCCCCTCACAAAGATACCTGTAGTTGAATCGATCCAGCACAAATCAGATCAACCCCCGAACATCATTTAAGAAAAAAATTCAACTCGATATGCTACTCTTGTAATGAATGTTCATCGTACGTGAGCCGGTTACAGAGGTAATTGTTGGCTCACAGGATACTGCAACTCTTGTTGCCACTAACGATTGAACAATGGCGAGTAAAGCTTTCAGTAGCCTATTTGAGGTATTATGGACACATTAGGAGGGCGATACACGTATTTAGTTTGAGGCGAAATCATCCTATTGTGTTGTCCATGCTTTAGTTAAAGGCTAATGAGCTACGTGGCTGATTAAGGGCACTGCAAGCCCAGATTTTTGTGTGACGTCCGTGATACCCCCCATCAAAGTTAAAAAAAGCCAAAGTTGTCGGTTGGTGGCGCCATCACAATGGCCCACGGAATAATTATAAGGCTTCAACATGCACTCACCCCGATTACCAAAGTGCTTCAGTCGCAAAACGGAAGTGCTTTCCCTAGATAGACCCTGGATTTTGCACCCAGAATTAAAACATCAACACAGGTTTATCAAATACACGTGAGACATGAGGCATCTGGAACATTTCTTGTTACTGCAGGTTTTACTGAGATTGTTTTTCAGGCTTTATAAATATTGTATAAATCTAATCTATACGAAGCACACACGTGATTATTACGATTTACTTGGAAAATCACAAAGTTGGGTGCAATTTTCAGATATGCTAAATATTACAACATACAAAATAAATATTTTATATTTCCTATATTATAGGGTTTCTTTGAAAGGTGTAGCTCGTGATTTAACTCAATACAAACACCTTTGCCCTCTTTGATGTTAGGTTTACCATAAACTGTTATTAATAACACCACTTTTGTTTCCTGATACCCTCAGTGTTAAAATGTGCACACATTGATACTTGGCATTAACTGGTGAGGACCTCTGCAATGTCAGTGGGTAGTATAATTCCAACAGAGCACAATTACCCGTGATAAAGCCTGAAAGTAAAAGGTTACGCGGCAAGCTTCTGGAACCCTCACGCGGTCCGCCTATGGGGATTTTACATTGGGCTGTCCCATCACGTTCGATAATTTTTCAGAAAACACTTATGATGGAATTTTCCCTCTGTCCTCCTCAAGTAATATTTAGGAAAAGTCAGCGGAGATGGCTCAAAATGAATTTCATTAACAACCTTTCATTTGAAGACAGGAGACACAGACCCCCCTCCCCTAAAAAAATCTTATGCAAACACAATTTATATGTAAATTCATGAACACCTGAAAGTTTACCTATTCCTATTGGTCGAACGCCCATCACACGGATGATCATGACCGGTTGATGACACACCGGTCAGCAACAAAAGTAGACTTGAATCAAGTCGGACATATTACATTGCTCATATCCCTTCACTGTCCACAGTAGTACACCGCAGTCGCGCTCGGATTGTGCACCGTGTGTCACCAGTCAGTGCAGAAAGACCGACATGACGGATAAGCCATAGAGAACCCCGTTGATGATACGTAGTTATTCATAATTACACATTATCTTGCATAACGTAAACATAATTTCCACCAATCAAAATAGTCATACGTGGATTTTCGACCAGTAAAAGTAGTTAGACTCGTTCATTATAATGCATGTATGAAAGATGGAAACATCAAGTCCCGTAATTTGATTGGCTGCTACCATTTTCGGTGGATGAGCTCATTCCTTGTGCGCAAGGAACAGATATTTCCTGAACTGTCCCCCAAAAGTACGGGTATACAATTACGCCTACGTGTTTGAAATTTCAGAATGCACACAAACCATGTACCAATTGAAGTTCATCTACTTTCTGTATCAACCCTCCCCCAAAAAATATGTACAGCCTGGGTGTCCTCCTTGAAATTTCAGCCTAGTTATGCCACTTAGTAAAACCGCTGACGGTTCTTGTAGGAGCCCAACAATATTCGGACAACTTGAGTCTGTATTTTAAAAGTTGGATCGCATTTGGAGGAGGAAAGAAGAGACGCTTCAGAATTCTCCGAAAGTCACACTTTCAGTGTCGGGTCAGACACAGAGTCGTGCGCGGTATCATTGCATAATCTGTTGAAAGCAGACTGAAGTGACTGTGTGTTTACATAACAAAGGCTAAACAATCAGCATTCAGCACCATAAACTGAACACAGCTTCCTTTAATAAATAAAACAGGTTTTTCCACGTGACACAAAAGAAAAGAATTGGCATTAAGTCTAGGGATGGGGCGACTTGCCCCACCCCCGTCTTGATACACCACTGGGTAATAAATATTATCATACACATCCTCTCTACTTGTGTGATGCAGGCTTTAATATAGCATGTATTGATATATTTTGAATTATGTCTGGGATACAAATGCCCATCAAATTTTATTTCTTGCCTTGTATCGCCATGGTCCCTAAAATTGCAGCAATTATAGCTCATAATGTTCACACCTTGAGTGAAAGACTCAAAAGAAGTGATTTCTGTCTTGTATAACAAGAGTTCGCTTATGTAAAACGATTTTAAAGCCTCAAGGAAAAGACTTCTGTCCTATAGGACTTCTGTTACAAGTGTAGTAGAGTGGAAGAATCACCACTTCTGGACCCTGGTTTTTTTTTTTGAGGGGGGATTAAATGGATTTTGTGGGGTGAGGTATTGATGTTTAAGAACACAGTAAGTGTTTGCATACATGTACATGTAGACACCATTTTAAAATTCAATGTCATTAGAGATCTAAAGAACGTGTCACATTCTTTCTTGGTTGCCAGCAGATTTATGGCTCCCGTTTGTTTATTTCTGCCCCCTCTGACTCTTTTTCAGTCCTTGGATTTGAACCCTCCAGAGTGTCGCCATGCTGACTATTGTTCACTACAGGTCTTCCTCCTTACTTCCTGTTGAACTGCAGCCTGACAACGGACCCTGCCATCTTGGATCCGTAGTGCCCAGCCCAGAATTGTGTATCTTTGCTCCTGTCTTCGTAGTGGATGAAGCGCAATCCCGGTCCGTAGCCCGAGAACACGTGGCTCGCCTGCAAAGGTTAGAAAACACAAAAGACAGCCACAAAATTCAAAGTTGACATAAATGGGAATTTGTGTGCGATTGAACCCCTCCTGCAGATGGGGGGGGGTAAGTGGAAGTCTCTCATTCAGGGGAGGGGGGTAGGACTCTGCCCCCTATCTTCCATTTCGAAATAGATTGTACTCACAACCTATGCGCAAAGGACCAGTTTAATGGATATTTTGTTCCCTGTAAAGTGTGTGCACCTCAGATCACATGCCCATAGAAATGTCATCCTAGTACAACCCTAAGTGAAATTATTTTCCAGCTGATTTTCACTTTGTTTAATTTTTTAAAATCAAGCTGTTGGCTTCTTGGGTTGGATCATATTTAGGCGGGTGGGGCAACACAAACTTCAGAATGTTTGAAAGACTATGAGCCTCGAGCTGAACCAAGAGAGGGCGCTGTTTTCTTAGCAATGGAGGCTCCTTTGGTCGGCACTGAACGTTGCTTCATGAATGACTACGGAATTAATATATGCACAAGCGTTACAGTCATACGACTACCACGAGGAACACTCCTGACCAATATGGCTCTTTTCAACTGATGAGGGGGTGCTTCTGCTTGAGGCGGATTAGAGGGTAGCTGTCCACAAACATGTGACCCACTCGGTGAAAATGAGTCGTAAATTGCCAGAGCCACTTTGGAGTAAAAAGTCCTCTAGAATAATTTTGCACAGTGTGAATCAATAGGAAACCACAGCATTTTTCACCATGGAGTATCCACTTTCATCAGGCTACCAAATGAGTGATACATCAAAACAAAAAAACTCAATTTGCTTTTTCCAATACAGATGAAAACTCAAAAAGTGGCTCCGCTCTGGTGACTTAAGACTCATTTTCACAGAGTGGGTCACATTTAGATTTCCTGTCCCATGGGGGAGGGGTAAAGAACACTCTTCAATAGACTTGTTGCCAGTCCCCTCATTATTCAACCACTCACCTCCTTCCAGTATGACGGCCCCCACTGTGGAGTGGTGTACGGGCCAAAAGTGAACTTGTCGATGATTCTGTCCTTGTTTCCACTTTCGTCCCTCTGCAACTGCACTGTCAACTCATACACACTGCCACAGTCAAAGCGTGCTGCAAACCTGGACATTTGATAAAAAAAAACCAAAAACAACTGCTAAAGTGCTACGATCCTTCCGAGTACAGCATCGGCAGGGACTCCGTGGTCAGGAACATGTATGAGGTTTGCATTTTTTGTGAACTTGTTACAAATTTCTTTATACTGCAACCGAATAAATCCTCATCACAAGATGTTATTTAGATGATGTTCTGCTTGTACAAAACAACTGTTGAATTCTTTTTATATATAAAATGCTATGGTGAATAGCCACAAGAGGTCTGGCAAGGTCATGAACTGATACAGGCAACACAGTGCTAAGAGTAAACTAAAAGGGCCCATCAGTGGTTCACAGCAGCCTAGAGGCTGGGCAAGGTTCTCTAAACAACATCATGATGTGGAAAGCAGATGGCGATGTACAAGGCTTTTCAAGGACTGGAAGCCAATTTTGCTGATCTCTCCGACCACACTGTTGGGGGGGGACTGCTCCAGAAGTGAACTGCGCGTGGATGAAGGTCCTACCACCAGAGGAGTAGGTTCTTGAGACTGGTTCGATGAGTTTGATGAATGTTTCGCATTCAGGTAGAAGACAGAAATTTTATTCAGTGGCAGGATGAATGATTTGTTTTTGCCTCGTGGACTATAGTCTTGGCCCAAGACATCAGTGATCGATAGCGGATCGCCACTCGCGAGCAAATTTATTTGTAAATTGGGGCGCCCTGTAGGGCACCAGTAGACCAGCTTGCACTGCTGACATCTTGGGAATTTTGCAGCACTGGGGGCGTCACCGTTTTATGTAAACAGGCCGTTGCCAAACGGGTTGCCAAGTTTTGACATGCATGCATACATGTAATGTGTACAACATGGCAGCTCTACGCAGACAACCCACAAGATACACGTAGTTTCTACTTTGCGCAAAGGAGTTTGTCACATGTAAAAGCTATTTTTCCCGGGAAACCAAACGAGTAATTGCTGCTCTGTCGAGGGACATCATTTGTGATTATAGTGCTGCAGCATCTCATCACACTTGTGATTCCTGTCACAGAATGACTTCTGAAGTAAAGGCTTTGTCAGAGTTCAGAGAAGAAATACGCAAAACCTTTGTGAAACTCAAAATGCAGGAGCTGCAACTGCAACAAACACTGCCACCTTTCATCAGTCACCGTCATCGTCGTCCGTAGTTTTGGCCCAAGACCTCAGTTTAAACTCTGAGCTATAAGTTGACATGAGAATTTTTTTTTTAATGAAAACGCTCGTGCTGGCTGACTGGTAACCTGATTTGTCAAGCAAGGTTTTTTCACGCTTAAACAAATTTTTCACGTCAGCAGCTCTGTGAAATTGGCCCCAGGTGTAAGAGGTTTGTCTCAGAAGATCTTTACTGACTTCCTGTTTGATGTCTTTTGTTTTGCTGTCATTGCCAATATCCATATAGACATAACTGTGATGTCATCTCAGGGATAACACCTCAGTGTTGCATTAGTTTGTGCAAAAAAAAATCTGCCTGAATCTTTGATAATAATTGCCCTCAGAAATTTCCTTTTCTTTGGGGATTCTTGGTAATGCAGGTGCCGGAACATGGTGATATGCCAGAGAGCAACCCCTTTGGTAGTGTTTTCAAATCATCAAATTTTGGATTCACAATTGGTACTGAAAACACGTATGAAGTGAACAGCGTCTTCCATGAATGACATCACACCTACAGCAGCGCCCTAAGTTGTTCTTAAAAGCAAGGGCAATTTTATGTGTTTAAAAAGCACGCCAAGTGGCACAAAAAGTAAAACCGAAGACACTTTGTTTGGACTTTTTCAATCTTTACCATTCTGAGACGAATATGTCCGGCTGGGCTTTATCAAGCATGGCCTCTGAACAGCCCTCAGCCACCAGGTCGATGAGCTGATGGCGTATGCACCACCCATAAGATGTGGCAAAGTGATGTGGGCTCCCGTCGCTGATGGCCCGCAACTCGTCCGGTTTGGACTCGGAGCCTGCACGCTCAGTTTCCACAAGCCAACCATCTCCACCATTGCCAGTGATGATCCAGCCAGCATTCAGACCGTCTGTTGAGCGTAGAGACACAGCGTGAGCAAGACGTGAATTATGTCAGAGGGTTCAGCCAATTTAAAGTTCTCTTTGACAAACTTTTCGTGCAATTTCATACTCTTCTTCAATGTATAAAAACGATTTGAGATCCTTCGAGTGGTAAACCTCACATTTTGTGGTAAATGAAAAAGGGTTCCTTGTTGGCAACTCAAATAGAAAACATTAAAGTTTTCTTCCAGGGAGAACATCACAGTTTTTATATTGAAATAACTGCTAGCAAAAAGGCTCCAGAAGGCACCCAATACCCTTTAAAATAACAAAAATTTGGAAATAAGGTTCATTGAAGCACATACATCTAGGTACATTTCCACAAGGGCTGTATTGAACATCAAATGCACTGCATGAACACTTCACTCACATCATTGGGTTGAGCTTTTAACAAATTTCTCATGTGACCAAATTTCTCTGTAAACAGGCAAGACGTGGTATATTTGTTGGGTGTGGCTGGTCGATCTGAATGATCAGGTGACAGACTGCTCTATCGGCTGATCTGATAGGAAATCTTAGACTTCCTGTTTTCCAAACTGATCTTCTGAAACCAGGAAATTAAACCAAAATTGTGTTGGCTGACTTCAAAATCACTGGCAGATTGTGCAACATGATCGACTGACCACATACATGTAAAGGTCGACCAAATCATGAAAGATTGACGCTCAAACTCAACACACCTACGGAAAGGAGGCCGTCAAAATGACCCTTCTGAAGTTTGCATCCGTCACAGTGAGCAAGGATCAACATTTCCACTTTTTCTGTCATCCTGTGACATCAAATTTAACATTTCAAAGAAACTGATGTTGGTCGCCAATGACTTCCTGTCGCATCCAGCAGAATTGCAGCCAAGGTACATGGACTCACCACAGGAAAGCAAGTGGGAGGAATGGGTGTTACAGTGAGTGGGGGGGGCACAAGTAGGTGGTTTGAATCCCGCCTATTCCAAAGATGGCAACTTGTTGATGTAGGAATGTGAAGGAGGCAGTGAAAGGGACTAAGGACAGGAATGACAGAGGGAACTGAGACAGGACAAGAGGGGAGACATTTCCCCTTTCTGTGGCCAAGATACTCCAAAACTTTAATACATGTACATGTATGTACATGTATGTCCTTGCCCATACCCTTGCCCCGAAGTGCAGTGTAATTTCTTCAAGGCAAGGAGTTTGTTTTGGATACTTGTGTTAGTCTGCATCACTGTTGTCTCCCCAGTATACAGTATGTGTGCATTTAACCTATTTACATGTACATGTACATACATGTACAGTCAGCAGAAGTGGCAGCAAGTCATATTTTGCAAGTCCAAGTCAAGTCACAAGTCATTTGGTCACAGGGCGAGTCAAGTCAAGTCATTTGGTCACAGGGCAAGTCAAGTCAAGTGTCATTTGGTCACAGGGCAAGTCAAGTCAAGTGTCATTTGGTCACAGGGCAAGTCAAGTCACAAGTCATTTGGTCACAGGGCAAGTCAAGTCACAAGTCATTTGGGCTAAATACAAGTCAAGTCACAAGTCTCTTTTTCCACATGAGAAAATGAGCACGTACGTTAAAAATCCATGCCCTATGGTTTTTGAAACATGTAACCAACTGTTTTGGCAGAATCCATTGCTGTTTCTTACCATCCTGCCTTTCAGCGCAAGAAGATCCACCCAATCTGCAAAGTGTGGCCATTTACGCAATGCATCACACACCGCATGTGCGTTGTTACAAACACCCGGTATCGGCTTGACCACTTTGTGAACAACTCCACAGCGCTGCATACAGTGTGTGCCCTACCTCCCCAGTTTTCAAAATGATTGAGCCAATATCAGATTAGTCTGGTCCCCTGACACATAATTCCCTGACGTCTCTTGATAGAATTTTGATGAGAATAGTCAAAATCATCAGGTCTCGTATCCAGACTAAGGCCATGAGAATAGAAGTTGTTGATTTCCGTCCACCACCTACATATCCTGATGCCACCACCCCTCAAAAATCATTATTTACAGTAATTTCATAATTTGTTAGAAAAAGACACAAAATCACAAAAATCAGATTTCCAAATCTTCTACTTCTAGCAGAGTATAAAAGTAAAACACCATACTCGTGCATTCCATCCACACTTAGCTCAGTTCAGATGGCTTTCATACATGTATGTCCAGAAGACCGCTTGAGCTATGGCTGACCCACATGTGTTGCCGTCAGATGGCCTGCGCTTGCATGTTTATAATGTAACCTACATACAAGTACATAGTACTGTGGGTCCTTTTGTTGTGACGATCCCTATTTTGACCTGATCCAGGAAATGATGAAAGGCCTACATGTACATGTGCATGTGGCTCATCCCTCAGCAAGGCTTCTGTTTTAGTTGTACATGTAGTTTGGCATTATTACACTTCAAAATTATCTGTAGGCCTACTGGAGGTTGAAACAAAATATAAATGAATAGACCCCCTAAAATGAAAATTTAAAAAATGCCTCCTGTGTTTTTGACATTGTTAGGATGCAAATCTACAACTTCTATTCTCCTGGCCTATTATCGGATGCTTGTTATGTTGTGCCTGTTTTTGTGCAGTGTGTAACCCAAGAGTAACCCATCAGGCATTAAACCTGTATGATGCATGACCAGTAAAGTCTAACAATATGTTCAGGAAGTAGGCTAGGCCTAAAATTTAACCATGTTAAACTTAAAGTTAGGCCTAAACATGTTAAACACGTCAAATAGGCCTTTCAAAATCAAACGTCACAAACCTTTCCCACTTGGGTTCTTAATGAGGTTCCTCGTGTAGGGACACTTGAAGTAGAATTCCCTCCAATCTTCTGGGTAATGCGGCGCCATGTATTTCTCAATAAATCGCCCGGTCCTCTGGCACATCTTCCGCCACAGCCCCTGGCTTTGCACCACGTCCCTCCACGCGCGGCAAACCAGCGCGCAATTTAACAGCCACTTGGGCGGTACAAACGACAAAATTTCTGTCAACAATTCGACTGGCATAACCTCCAAAGTCATCTGGAGAGACTCGTTGGAATCAACTGCCATGTCGATATCATCCATACCAGCTTCTTCCCAAGAATCTTGGTCTTCCCATCCATGGTCCTCCTTTCCTTGCTCATCACTGCCAGTGCCGGGCCCGGTCTTCCCGTGCACCATGGCCGCCCCCATCTTCAAACATTTTGATGGACGCGCAGCCGCGCATGAATCGAGGGCAACTTTTACATACGGCTACGACTGCTTACTTTGGCACCTTTATTAGAGAACGCAAGAAGTGACAGCCGCAGAGTCCTGTAGTTGGAGAATGGCTCAGTAGGCTGGTTCCCTACTCCTATAGCAGCAAACCTACGATAAAAAGGACGGGAAGTAAGAGGGTGCTGCCACTAATCTCCAACCGGTCCCAGCGCCAGCGCCGCAGCGGTACGGTACGGTAACCACAGCGGTGCTAGCCTTTCGTCAAGGCCTTCGTGGCTGTGTGTAACTACAAAGCGACTGGAGAAGAGACCAGGTTTAGCAGCTTGTATATGTGGTCTTCTCTCCAGTCACATACAAACAGCCACGAAGGACATGACGAACTTAGGCTACAGCAGTACAGGGAATGAGTTTTCACAGGAGGATCATACGGTCACGGTGGGCTTCAAAGGGACATGGTAGGAAGAATTATTGTCGGCGACTTGAGGGAACAACAAAATTTTGTTGCAGCGACAAAATTTGTGCTATGATAATAAACACTGAAATAATACTACTGGGAACAGCAAAGTGAGGCAATTTTCAACATGGTGGGAAGGGGAGCCCTCATTTCAAATACTGCAAGGAAATTGCATGTGCTTAGGCACAATTTATCATGCCATATTAGTGTGAGACTTGAAACACATTTTAAGGGGTATGGGGCTTTTTATATATAAAGGACACAGCAACATTGCCGAGGTTATCAACTTTATTGAAGGACAGTTGCGAGGATCCGGAAGTCAACATGGGTATGGTGGATGGCAAACAAAATATTGCAGAAGGAACGGACCGACGTGTTCCCAACAAGAGGTCCGCATCATCCTCCGCACGCTTGACTTTAAGGGTGTAAGTTCGAAGACTACTTCGCCAGACTTACATATCCAAGGGACCAAGCTTTATTTGGAACTTTACCAGCTAGCTATGATAAACTGAAACAGTTCGGTTTTTGCATCAACGGTTGTGTAGATGGTTTCTAACGGGAGTAAGTTGAACCAACTGCCAATAGTAGCGACTTAAGAGCTTTTGGTTGATAGTGTGCTAGTCAATTGGCGCGGTGCAAAGTTATAGATGGCGCTCTGTTCAGTAAAAGATTTTAGGCAAATTTGAGGAGGCGCACGTCTGTGTGTTAAGCAAAGATTGTATGCGATCTTTGATGTTAAGTGAGCGCGGCGAATCGGCTCCGCTTTAAGCGTGGGGCGATTGACCATGCCGTGAATTCTTATAGACCAGAAAACCCAAGTTCAGCAACCTGTTTTTTCTGGCAGGTCGAACCAGGATTTCGAAGATCTCTTATCAGCCACTCTTATCATCTCCCTCATGGAATTTTGTTATGAGCTAAGCGCAAAACAGCAGCTGGGGCAATTATCATGATGGCTTGACTGAGTGGCAAGTGGGCTTTGCCAATAGTTTTCTCAACACAGGTCCAATTCATAATGGCTCGAAACCAATGGGGCACTCCATTTTGACCAGATATGAAACCACATTTTCCCCTTTTCATCGCTCAAATCGGTGGTCCAACGCCCGAGTTACTTTAAATCTTTGAACCGTGGAGTCGTTTGTGTGGGCCACTTACTGAGCACGCATGCGTAAAAAGCGGCCTTGCAAGTGCATGAATAACACTGTGCTATACAGGGTGTCCCAGAAAACACCAAACCTTGAGGAAAGGGGTTAGTATGCCAAAACCATGAGATATGATTATAACGTATAAAGATTTCCGAAAAGTAGAAGCAGTTTTCTTTCTAATGATACCTTGATGGTATGGTATCCCTCCTGTCATGCATGACTGAACACCATTGTCTAGAAAATGGGGCATCTGAACTCATTTGTAACACTTTGGATGCGTTCCAGGAGCCATTGAGAAATTCTAGTAACTCTTATATGCAAAAAGGTTATTACTTCTAGGAAGGAAACCTTTTTTTGAAATTCACCTCGTTTTTCATTGAGACCCATTTTCGTCATTTTCCGTGTTTTTCACCTTACTTAATGCCAATTTTCACACTTTTGTCGAATTCTTCTCAGATCATCGGTGATGCTGTCTGGAAGACTGATACTTTTTTAGTAGCTGTCAGTTATTTTTTTCAAGATTAAGAGCCATTTGTCTGAAATGCAGTTAATTTTTCATGCGGATTCAAATTTCCACACTGAGTTTGGCAGCGGCCAAAAATGAGATGTCTGGATTTTAGGCATGGTGCACACGGTACACAGACCTGGATACGAGTGCGTTTGGGTACGAGTTGTGAATCAAACATTAAGGATTATTATTCATAGCACATTATACAAAACATTAGCCTCAACTGTGAATGCTAACTTATGGAATTTATCATCCAAAAGCTCGCAAGCCATTGAAAGCATTTTTTTCTTGAGATCTATAATGTTGAAACGAAATGCTTGTTCACCGGATCGTAAAAACATCTGTCTGTCTGTCAGACAGGCAGGCAGGCGGGCAATGCACCATGATGGTTTTGATGGTTTTAATNGTCTAGAGAACTATTCTTCATAGTTTAACCAGCAACTATTAACATGGCACAGAAATTTTCCATTCAAAACTTTGTTGCCAATTTTGAAGGGAGTCCCTCGGAGGACAAAGTTACTTGTCTGAAAAGATCCGATTTGTTTGAAGTTGCTAAGCACTACAAGATAACGGTAGCTACAAGCATGAAAAAAGCTGATATTCGAGCAGTTATTTTAGAATATTTTGTTGATGAAGGCATGTTGGAAGAGCCAGTGGTTGAAGGAAAACATGAAGTAGATGTTAGTGGTCACTCTGATGAAACGGCTATCAAATTAAAACAGTTGGAGTTGGAAATTCAGATGGAACAAACTAAGAAAATGCACATGGAGCTAGAATTATTCCATCTTAAACAGAAACAACCCACGGAGCAAAAAGACTCCGTTTCTGCAAAGAAATTTGATCCAACCAAATTCATCAAACTAGTGCCTCCTTTTAAGGAGAAAGATGTGGACAAATACTTCGCCCACTTTGAAAAAGTGGCCGATAGGTTAGAGTGGCCAAAAGATATGCGAACACTACTTTTGCAGAGTGTATTAGTTGGTAAGGCACAGGAGGTTTATTCAACCTTTTCTGTCGATGAATGTACCGATTATGATTTGGTCAAGGCCGCCATTTTAAAAGCCTACGAGCTTGTGCCCGAGGCCTATCGTCAGAAGTTTCGTGAAAAACGAAAACAAGAGAACGAAACCTATGTTGAATTTGCTCACGAGAAAAAGGTCTTGTTCGATAAGTGGTGTAGATCGTGCAAAGTTGGCAAAGACTTTGATAAGTTACAACAGCTCATTCTTTTGGAGGAATTCAAAGGTAGTATGCCTTATGCTGTTAAAGCCCACTTAGAAGAGCAAAAGGTTGACGAGTTGGAGAAAGCAGCTGTGCTAGCTGACGATTACGTCCTGACACACAAAACTAACTTCACTCACAGTGAACATATTGATCGGAAGAAAGACCACAAAACCTTTGGTCAATCTAAACCAACCTCCGATAATAGGTCAAAGCTTGTGATCAAAATCACAATCGGGTTCCGACGCAAGTTCCAAAGAGTCGACAAACAAAACCACAGTTGACTCGACCAAACCGGTACAATGCAAGTACTGCAAGAAATTCGGGCATACCATATCCAATTGTTATACTTTGGGAAAGAAAAAATTGGCCCAAACTGAAGCCAAACCTGTTGCCTTTACCACTACTACACCTGCTGCCAGCTTGAATGTACACAAGCTGATTAATAAGGGGGCTTCATCTGACTTTAGAGAGGAGTTTCTACCCTTTATTTCAAAGGGGTTTGTGATGCTCGATGAGCGTCATGGTTCGCAAAGATATCCAGTAACAATTTTGCGGGATACAGGGTCCGCCCAGTCTTTGTTACTTAAAGGGGAGGTTCCTTTAGATGAAGAGACTTCTCTAGGCACAGATGTGTCTATTATGGGTATAAACGGTGAATCATTGGATGTGCCTCTCCATCGTTTGTATTTACAGTCAGACATAGTTTCTGGTCCTGTGACCATTGGTGTTACCCCCAAATTGCCCTCTGGGCTAGATGGTATTACACTACTGCTGGGTAATGAAGTGGCTGGTACTAAAGTAGTTGTAGAACCCTGTATGACTAGTGTGCCATGTTGCGACAACACTGCAACATTAGAACAAGAATTCCCTGGAATCTTTCCTACTTGTGTGACTACCCGATCTATGAGTAGTAAATGTAAGGCACCAACAGATCATACTGTAGACGTTGACATTTCCGAGACTTTCATGTCTAGTCTACCAGAAGAAGTCTCTCAGATTTCTCTTGAAAAGGATTGTTACAATTCTTCAAATGTTGAGAATCACACTGTTCCTCAAAACACTAAGGACTCGGCCTTTTTGAGTGAATTAGGTGTATGCTCCGACATTTTCTTAAGTAGAGAACAACTGATATCCGAACAGAGCAAGGACCCTGAATTGTTGACTCTATTTAACCAAGCACATACGGAAACCGAAGCAAGTAGTTTACCTGTTTGTTACTTTATCAAATCCGGTGTGCTCATGCGCAAATGGCGACCGCCAGATGTGCCCGCTGATAATGAGTGGAAAGTCTTGTATCAAGTAGTTGTTCCGACCAGTTATCGTTCACATATTCTGAGTTTGGCACATGAACTTCCTATTTCAGGACACTTGGGTGTCACCAAAACCTGTGATAGAATTTTGCAACATTTTTATTGGCCAGGTATTCGAAACTCAGTTGCTCAATTTTGCCGTACATGTCATACCTGTCAGATGACTGGGAAACCTAATCAAGTTCCTCCTCGTGCACCGTTACAGCCTATACCGGCATTTGAAGAACCATTTAGCAGGGTAATTATCGACTGTGTAGGGCCCTTGCCCAAAACAAGATCAGGTCATGAGTATTTATTAACGATAATGTGTGCTTCAACCAGGTACCCAGAGGCGATTCCATTAAGATCAATCAAGGCTAAACCAGTTGGCGAGGCTCTGAGAGGTTTTTTCACTCGTTTTGGACTACCAAAGGT